CAGCTACTTAGACTAGAATTTTAGGATTTTGGGTAAACTGTATATTTTTCTAAAATGTACAAATCAAAACACACTGAACTGTATTAGCAGACAGGGGCTTCGGTTTGCATTCTTCGCTTCGCTAATGCCAAATCCAGGAAGATGACTCACCAGCACACTTATTTATTTCCAGGCAAAGAAATCAGATGTCAGGTTTCATGGTGGCCCTTGCCAGCTTCTCTCTGGCTGCCCTTGCTAAGACTCTATTTGATTAAGTCTAGGGAACGGCGAACTGACACTTTTTGATATTTTTGCCTAAGGGCAAAAAAAGCTGCCCATTCACGAAAGGTGAAACGTATGCAAGGTGGGCTCCAGGATGAAAAACAAACAAACAAAACAAAACAAAACAAAAGCACCACCAATCTGCATGATGGCTTGTCCTTTGTTTTTCTCCTCCAGGCAGGACAGGAAAATGGACTTGAGCTCCCAGAGCAGGGCGGTGAACAGGGCCATAGGCTGCAGGCTTCGACCAGCCAGCTTCTCCGCCCCACCAACCCGAACCCGCTCGGCAGTCAGGGGGGCTGGATTGGGGCTGCCGGAGGGAGGGCTCTAGCGCGGACACAACCACAGGCGCAGCCCCGGGCGCTTGGCTGCGTGCCTTCGGGATGGCGGGCGAGCCTGCTGGGGTTGCTTTCCACTGCCTGCCTACTGCAGAGGGCCTCTGCTTCCTGTCGGAGGCCTCTGGTTAGCTAGATGGCGTCGTCTCAGCACGGCCTGCTGGACTGCTCAGCGGCACCGCCTGGGCCTGCACCCTCCTCTGGGATGCCCTCTCAGCAGTCAGGAAGTGCTGCCCTCCCTTAGAAAGAAGGTGGCCACACATGTAAACAGGCCTAATGCTGCTGCGCTTAAACACAGGGGGGATGTTGGGGCGGATCACTTTATCTGGGTGATTAAGGGATGTTTTCCAAGGAGGGCCCCAGGAATCAGAAATGCCAGGACCTGTTCTCCAGACAGCCGCTGGGCGGGTGCCCCCACAGCAGGCGGCGCGGCCCCTGAGAGGCCCGCCACGCCGGAGGGGCTGGGTGCCAACCGAAACTGGTCTCACGTTTTATGCGTTCAAGGGTCGGCCGGTAGTTGCGTTTTTTGGCCTTGTGCGACTATCATATCACTTTTTTTTTTTTGTTTTTTTTTTTTTTGAGACAGATCACTTTGCTTTGGTTGCCAGGCTAGAGCAGATGGCCGCATGGGCGTCATGCCTAGTCTCACAGCAACCTAACTCCTGGGGCTCAAGTGATCCCTCCTGGGGCCTTCAGCCCTCCCGAGCTAGGCTGGGACTAAGCATGCACCACCTGGCCCGGGCTGATGTTTTTTCGATCAGGGTATGACTATTACCGGTTGATCAATTAATTTCTGTTCTTATTTATAGTAGAGACTGGGTCTCGCTCTTGCCTCAGTGGGCTGGTTTCAAAACTCGCTGACCTCGAGCAATCCGCTCGCCTCGCCTCCCAGTAGCTGCTAGGATTACAGGGGAGGAGCAGCCACCTCGCCCGAACCTCGTTTTTTTAAAAATTGGAGACAGGGGTCTTGCTCTCGTGGCTGGGACTGGCGTGCAGGTGGCGTCATCACAGCCTCACTCCATCCTCACACTCCTGGGCACAAGTGAGGTCATTAACTTTTTTTAAACCATAAATGTATCACATAAACAAAAGAAGTATAGAATGTTTAACAAAAAATGAATATCCAAACATTTCATCACCCAGCTTAAAAAAACAGGCCCTAAAATCACTTCCTGAAGCCCCTCCCGAGATATCCCCCCCTCCTGCCTCTCTAGATGTAGGTGACTGTCCCTGTTTCTGTTAATCATCACTGTCTTTTCAGTTTCGACCATAAACTCTCAAAATGCATCGTGGTTTGCCTGGCTTCTTAACCTTGTGTAACAAGGATCAACACTGTATGTAGCCGTTTTCTTTGACTTGGTGGCAAATTCTGATCGCTGGGCCCAAGGGCTGGAGTGCGCGTTTTCCGCAAGCGTCTATACATCCATGGTCATTCGGACAGGAGCGTGACACACACAGAACCCCCAAGCTGGAGCCTCCCTGCAGGTGGGGGAGCCTCAGTTGCCATGTTCATCTGCTCTGCTCATTCCCGATATTGATACACCTAACAGCCGGTGCCTTCTATGCTAAGGGCTGCACTCGGATGCCTTCAGCGGCGCATTGGTCACGAGCGGCGGATGCCTGCTCCTGCCCCAACAAACATCTGGCCTAAAAATGTGTCTGGCCGGGGGCTTCTGGCTGCCAGATCCCTCTGAGGCCATGCCACCTAGAGCTGCCAGGTGGGAGCACCACGGGCCGACTTTCTAGGCACAGCCAAGCGCTTCCAAGAGGCTGCACCACCGGACACCTGCACCTAAGGACTGCGCGAGTCCGGCTGTGCCATGTCCTTGTCAGCTCGCCCACCACTGGAATCTCCACGTCTGACAAAACTGGTGGTGTGAGACGGCATCTGGATGTTAGTTCAGTCTGTATTTCTACTGATCGCAATAAGATGAAGCATCTTTTGCTTAATCAGCCACTTATGTTTTTCTGTGTCTGCAAAATGCCCAATCAGACGTTCTGCTCAGGTTTTCTCCTTTTGTTTCCCGATTCACAGAAGAGCCTTGTGGGTTGGTCTGGAAAAGCTCCAATCCAGGCCGGCACATGCCCGCTTCTGCTGCTCCACTCCTCCTGTGTCCCCGAGCAGTGGCATGTCCAGGAGCAGCACATGCCCTCCCAACGCCACCTGGGCTCACGACCCGACGCTTCCTATGCCCCACCATTCCCACCCAACGGCCTGTCCAGCCGCCTGTCCTGCGGGTCCTCCGGAAAGGTCTCACAGGCGATGCAAACGTCACACGTCTAAACAGCTTCCTGACCTTCCCTGACAACCTGCCCCGCTGCGTTCTACCCCATTCACACGGCGGTGCCCACAGGGTGCAGGCCACACGGTGCCACGCTGCTCCCGCTCTGTCTCTCAATGCCCACGTCCACCCACCGGCAGCTCCGCCTTCAAATCACATCCACAACATGCAGCTTCTCACCAGCCCCGGCCACAGGTGGCCGGCTCTGGGACACCCACGTCCCTTCAGGCGCGCTTCAGTGTCCAACACCCAGCTGTCAGCGTCCCCTCCTTTCCTGAGCCTCTCCCAGGCCAGGCCGGATGGCCAGGAGATTCAACCCCGGCGCCCCTCGTCACATGATGGGGTAACCCAGGCGTGTGTTCCACGCTGGCCAAGTCCCTCGGGAAGACCGAGCTCCAGAGGAAAACACCCTCATCCTGGCAGACTCCCGCCCTCTCCCCACCACACTCCCGGGGCTGCCCTGAAACGAACGGTGCGCACAGAATTCTTGCTTCAGGGGCTGCTTCTGAAAACCCCCGATGAAGACAGTCCGGAAGGGTCTGGCTGCCTGCGTCTGGGCCCCGCACCATGTTCCCAACAGAGCAGCCAGGATGTGCCTTAAAAGCCTTCGTTAGGGCTCCTCACAAAGCCCTACAAGCCCCTGTCTCACTCAAAGTAAAAGCCGGAGTCTAACTTTTTGAGGCCTTCTGTGCACACCCCTTCCCTCATCTCCTCTCCTTTTAGTCAGTTTTCAGACCCAGAGTACATACCTCAAAAGAGATGCTAGGCCCCCTTGCAGAAGGATCTTGCAACCAAGAGGGAGTCTACACAGCAGTAATTTCCCTGCTCCTCCCCAAAGAGAACTATTTCATTTATTCGAGAAACTGTACACTGGAGAAAGAAGAATCCCTGGATATTCTGAAGGCTGCTGGACACAAGGTCCAAACTAACACTGGTGCCAGGGAACTAGAATGCTATCACAGCCTACAGAGGCCAGGTCACGGACGAGTCTTTGGTCTAGGACCCTCTCTCAGGGGCTCCAGTGTGCCCAGACACAGCTGGTGCTCGTCTGCCTAGTCCTAAGCATTTATTGAGGGACAGATGTACCCCGAGACTGGCAGAACACGCTATACCGGCTCCTGGACATGTAGATTAAGGGACACGGAACAGCGAAGACCAAGTGCAAGAAGTGCTGGACACGGATACTCCCCTGGCCAGAACAACCATGACGCTGCACCCTGTGTGGAATGGAGAAGTTAGTGCCACTTCAAGACCAGAAGGACACCGGGGTGGCGGTCCACGTAGCACCCCCACTTAATTCACCAGTATGGCTTGTACAAGAAAACTGGATCACGATGGGTAACAGTGGACTTCCCCAAAGTAAGCCAAGCTTCAGTGCCTGCTGCCATGGGGGATTTGGTGTCATCAGGACAACAGATCCACTCAGCCTCTGGCACCTGGCAGACAGCCACTGTTCTGGTAAACACGTTCTTTGCAGCCCTCACTGCCGAGGAGGGTCAGCAGCAGTCTGCACTCGGTGAATCCAGGAAGTGGGAAAAGTTGGATATGGCCCCTCTCACCGCCACTCCAGAGACCCAGTGTGGACTCTGTGCTCATCTTCCCCAGAATCTAGAGTCCCTGGTTCAAAGGGGTGGAGAAAGCTTCCATCAGGTGATACCAAAGGCCATGGTGGCCACTTGGTCACTTGGGACTTCTCGTGCCAGAAGACTAGCAGGCAGTGCACGGAGTTCCCATGCTGCCAGAGCACATGGCCACGATGACCATGCAGGACTGAGCTGCCACTGCACAGGGGGCCGGGACCTCCCTAGATGCTCCCGTGACCAGTCCTGACGGTGACTAGACCGTCACAGCAGGCAGAGCTGCACAAAGGACAGGAGGCAGGGGCTTGGCCCGTACAGGGGTGAAGGTCTACGTCACCTCACCGGCCACCAGAGCAGCCAAAGACTGGCCACAGGTCAGGGCTCTAGAAAGGGTGGCAAGGGGACGAAATGATGCACATCAGCCCAACCTGGACCAGCACAGCTGTGGGAGCTCAAATCTGCCTCCCAGAGGCCTTGGCCAACACCTGCTCAAGAACGAGCAAAGTGACCCTGTGAGTGGTGGTGTGAGCAGAGCTCAGTGGCACCAGGCAAAAGCCTGGGACCGGGGGTGGAGTCCTATGGTGACAGAGCCTGGCGCTCCTCTGCCCCAACGGCTGGGCTGCCAGGGCGGCCTCCCCTGCACTCACTCGGCGCATGCAGCAGACGGAAGGTGTCTGAGGACAGACACCTGGGGTAGTGCTCAGCCTAGGATAGGCAAGAACTCCACGGCTCCTCTCCGGGCAGGGAAGGCTCTGAGGTGTGGCCCACCCTGTCCCCAGCAGTGCCTGGGAGCTGACCCAGATTCCCCCTGGGCCCCTCCTCTTCTCTGCCCACTTCTCCACAGCCCTGCCAGTTGTTCCCGGGAGCACTGCTTAGGAAGCAGCTTTTACGTGAACCCTCACTTCAGTATCTGCTTCTGCAGAATCCAACCTAAGACCAAACACAGATGAGATTTTCTGCTGTCTATTTGCAACCCAATGCATCTACTCAAAGAATGTTGTTTTATGATTCTGATTCTTTGAAATTTGAGACAAGTTTATGTCCCAGCACTGGTCAATTTTCAGATATAATCCACATGTTTGGTAAGAGTATCTCCAGATACATACATATATATATACCTGATAAGCTATAGATTCCTACAGGTTTCCATGTGCACATTTGATACCAAATTGTTAGATACATACATATCGAACACTCTGGGTCAGTCGTTAGTATGGAGCCCTAGGAGATTCTCAGGAGACCAGCCCGGAAGACCTTTGAGAATCACATCCTTACTCAAGAAAGACCATTTGCCCAGATAACACCCAGCCCCCATTTGTCCAGGGACTCCCAGGGGGCCCAGAAGAGGCTAGCACAGCCTGGAGGTGCCCTGAGGGGACATGGGTGGAAGGAACCCCTGCGGAGCCCTGTTGGGGGAAGGGAAAACACTACTTACCGCAATCTCTGTTACTAAAATATCAGTAATACTTCCCAACACAGTGACAAAGTCAAAGACATTCCAGGCATCTCTGAAATAGTTCTAGAGAAAAAGAAGGGCAGTTAGTGCGAGTAGCTGATGAGGGCTTTGCTGGGCAAGGAGGTGTGCGTGGTGGCCCGAGTCAAGACAGGGGTGAGAGTGATAGACTCCCAGCACAGGGCAGGTGGACCACCCCTCTTGGCACAGCACAAGGCCAGTGACAAGCAGGCACCACAGACAGGCGTGCGGATGCCTGTGGGCAGAACGAGGAGCCCTGTGTCCAGGAGGAGGAGCCCAGCCCTGCCTGCCTCCCGGGCCTGGGCTGGGGACAGAGCTCAGGCAGCCGAGAGTGTGAGAGCAGCACCTTCCCAAGGGCCCCCACGGTTCACATGTGCTCTGGGCCTTTGGAGAATTCACAGTTCCCAACTGGGAGACCCCCAGGGGTGCCCTACAGAGAGGAAGCCAGAACGCAGGCCACGAAAAGGCAGAGGGTACCAGGCACATACCAGCACGCCAAAGGCAATGATCTTCAGCACGCACTCCATGGAGAACATGGATGTGAACACGATGTTCAGGCATTTCAGCATCAGCTCATACTCGTAGGGTGCATCATAGAACTGCCCAGAGAATAAATGCCATTCATTAGCCGTGGGCTCAGTGGCCCCAAGGCTCCTACCTAGGACCACCACACCCCCCTGTGCAAGCACAGTGGGCAGACAGAGCTCCACAGCAGCCCAGGCCCGGGACACCCCTCCCTGCTCTCCCTCGAGTTCTCCCAGAACCTTCTTACTATCCTGACCCATGGGCAGCAGAGGGCAGCAGGATCCCACGGACATCCTGTGCCGGCCAGAATAGGAGGCAACCACGCTCTGGCAGGAAGAAGGCCGCCCCTTCACCCCACCTCAGAGTCAGCTCACACCCCGCCAGGTGCAAGCCCCCTGAGCCAGGCCCCACGCACCTTCATCATCAGGACCGCCGTGTTGAGGGCGATCATGGCCATGATGAAGTACTCAAAGGGCGGGGAGACCACGAAAGTCCACGTCTTATACTGGAATGACTGCTGGTTTTGGGGCATGTACCGTGTCAGGGGTTTGGCGCTGATGGCGAAGTCAATGCAAGCCCTCTGCAGGGAGAGAGAAGCACCGAGAGGTCTGAGGGGGAACGGCACACCTGCCCTTCCCCGGCCCATGGCACACCTGTCATCCCCCCTGCCCTCACAGCACACCTGCTCCCCCCAGCCCATGGCCCACCTGGCCCCCCCAGCCTCACGGGAGTCTGACAGGAGAAGGCAGCCCGAGGCAGTGAGCTCAGGCCTCTGCAAGCCAGTCCGACTGGCCAAACGTGGGCGCGCTCTGCGTGAGGAAGGAGGTCCGCGCCCATGCAGGCAGACAGCACGGCCAAACCGCCCCCGTGACGAGTGCTGCATGTGCAGGGGACAGTCCTGCCCACACTGTCCACTGGGAGCCCACCTACCTCGTTCTTCTCTAGGCTGCATTCAGACATCACCTTGTCGCCCTGCTCCTGGAAGGTGATGATGATCAAGGCCACAAAGATGTTGACAAAGAAGAAAGGGAAGACCACGAAGTAGACCACGTAGAAGATGGACAGCTCCATGCGGTACCCGGGGCTTGGCCCCTGCTCCTCATAGGTGGCATCCACCGAGTGCTTCAGCACCCTGGGCCGGAGACAGAGCATACACCGAGCCTCAGGGGCAGCCCCAAGGAGACAACCCCGGGCAGCGCGAGGCCTGCGTCACCGGAATGTTCCAGTGTGGGGAAGGAGTCTCAGGGCTCCCGCCTTGGCCGTCCCGTCCAGCCTGCCTGGCCCCCACATGCCAGGCAGGGAGCACTCACATGGGCCAGCCTTCTCCCGTGGACACGGTGAACAGTGTCAGCAGGGCCCAGAGCACGTTGTCATAGTGGAAGTCGTATTTCTTCCACTGCCGCGGCTGGGCTTCCACCTCGTCCTTCTCGTAATCCAAGTACTGGCCCCTGGGGGCGGGAGCACCGAGGGGTCAGAGGCTAAAGACGAAGGACCCACATAAAACCCACGTCTGTGGCCAATGGGTTTTTGAAAAGGGTGCTAAGACCATTCCATGGGGAAAAAACAAGTCGCTTCAACATATGGTGATAGGACAACTGATACCCGCATGCCAAAGAACAAATCCGACTCCTGCTCTACTTCATACACAAAAATTAACTCAAAGTGGATTAAAGACCTAAATGTAGGAGCTAAAACTATGAAACTCTTGGAAGAAACCACATGGACAACTCTTCACGACCTCGTATTTGGATGGATTCTTAGATACGACACCAAAATCGTGAGCAAAACAAAAAAACAGAAAAACTAGGCTTCATCAAGATTTAAGACATTAGTGTGTCAGAGGACACCATCAAGAAAGTGAAAAGACAATCCACAGAATCGGAGAAAGTATTTGCTAATGTTTGATAAGAGATTTGTATCTAGAATATATGAAAAGCAATCACATGTAATAATAAAAAGACAGCCCAGTTAGAAAATGGGCAAAGGATGTGAAGAGACATCTCTCAAAAGAAGACACACAGAGGGCTCCTGAACACATGGAAAGATGCCCAGCATCGTCAGTTACCAGGGAAACAAAGTGAAGCCAGGATGGGACACCACTTCACACTCATTAGAATGGCTGTCATTTTAAAAAACAAACTAAAAAACTAGAAAATAACAGATATTGGCAAGAATACAAAAAACTCAGAACTCTTATGCATTGCTGGTAGGAATATAAAGTCTGGCTTTTCCTCAGTTAAACATAGTTACCAAATCACCCATCAACTCCACTTCTAGAAGTGTGCCCAAGAGAAATGAAAACACAGCTCCACATAAAACCTGTACACTATGTCTACAGTAGCATCATCCATAATCAGCAAAAGGTGGAAACAACCCACATGTCCACTAACATGTGAATGAATGAGTACAATGTGGCACGTCAAAGAGCAGACGCTCAGCCATGAACAAGAATGAAGCAGCGGATATGCCACAACACAGGTGAACCTGAAACATGTTTGATAAAAGCAGCCAGTTACAAAAAAACATGTGTTGGATAATTCCATTTTTTAAAAATGTCCAGACAAGGAAATTTATAGATATAAAAAACAGATAAGCTGTTACTTAGGAGTGGGGATAGGCACATCAGAAGCGATAGCTAAAAGATACAGGTTTGTCTTCTGTTTCTTTGAGGTGGTGACGATGTTCTACAATTGTTGTCGTGATGACTGCATAGATCTGTGAATGTACTAAAACCTCTGAACTACACACGTTAAAGGGATGGTTATGAGCAAATTATGTGGCACATGAATTATATCTCGATAAAGCTGTTTAAGAAAAAACAAGGAGCCCACTGCAGTGGGGAAAAAAGGATCTTTCTGAATAAATGATGTATGTCAATTGGATATCCATCTCCAGGAAACTTATTTTTATCCACACCTCACACAACACATGAATATCAACTGCAGATAGATTGCAGATCTTAAGTGAAAGGCAAAAATAAAACTTTTAGAAGAAAACATGAACAAAATCCTTGACTTTGGGTAGATTTCTTAAACAACATACAAAGAGTACTCACTATAAAAGAATTTTACAGAATAAGTTGGACTATATTAAAGTCATTAATTTTGTTCTTTAAACCATTAAGGGAGTTCTTAAACCATTAAGGAAGTAGAAAGCTCCCTATAAAGGGAGAGAAGACATCCATAATCCATAGACCAGGCAAAGGTTTCCCATCTAGAACCGTCAGCCTGAAGGAGACACACAAGTCCCCAGAGAAGGGGCAAGGACCGAACACACGCTCCCCAGGAGCGCGCCCAATCATCTAGTGGCCGATCCACCTGGGAAATGAGGCTCATCCTCGCTGGTCGTCACACAAGTACAAAGCAAACCACAGTGAAAGCCTACAAGGCTAAAAAGGAAGACAGTGTTAGTGAAGGTGTGGAGGGACTGGCGCTCTCTCATGCTGGCGACAGTGTCACCTTCCACGAGAGTCTGGCGGCATCTCCTACAGCTGAACGCAAAGCACAGTCCCAGACCCAGCAAGTCCACGGCTGGACACCTTAGAGTCGTCACACTGCTCACCAGCGACCCCTGCACACGGAGCAGCCCAGTGACTCTGCTCGTGACGGCCCCCAACCGGAAACGACCACATGCCCATCAGTGACACAGTGGGCAAGTGAACTGTGGGATGTGCACCCAGAAACTGTCACGTAATCAGAGACAATGGGGACCGTCACCGTGTAGGCAGGGAGAAGCTGGAGCACTGCCTCGTGCAGAGTCCACACTGGCAGCTGCCGCTATTCCTACAGCTCCAGGGGTGGCCCTGCTGGCCAAAGTGGCCCCAGCTGCTGGTCAGCCAGCCTCCTGCCTGCGTGGCCCAGCCTGGGTCTCTGGGGCAGAGAGACCGGGTACCCCCAACGCCGACCGTGAGCTCCTGGATGTGCGCGGGCAGGGAGACGGTATCCCTCCGAGCACAGGTGTCCCCGACCCGCTGAGGAGGATGGGGGGCCCCTGGTGTGACATCAGCGATGGGGCCACGTCCCCCCTTCTGTGGGGGGCCACACCCAGGCAAGGCCCTCACCAGCCCTCAGGCAGAGTCCCCACGGTTTTGCAGAGGAGTCTCCCAAGCCACATCACCAACCCCACCTGGTCACCAGGGAACTCCAATGGTTCTCTGTATCACAGGGCTCTGTGCCCCACCCCTAGCCTGCCTCGGTTTACCTGCAGTCCCTCTCCAGCTCCTTGGATTCATCAGTGCAGTAGAAAAACTTCCCTTTGAAGAGCTGCACGGCGATGACAGCAAATATGAACATGAAGAGCATGTAGACGATCAGGATGTTGAGGACGTTCTTCAGGGAGTTCACCACACAGTCAAACACGGCCTGCAGCCAGAGGGATGGGACCATGAGGAGGGGCCACAGGGTGGAATCACAGGGATGGGTGGATCCACAAGGGGGTGGGGCCATGAGGGGAGGGGCAGAGTCATGAGTGGAGAGGAGAGCCATGGGGAGAGGGGGTGGAGCCATGAGGGGAAGGTGGAGCTATGAGGAAGGCTAGAGCCATGTGGAGAGGGGTGGAGTCATGAGGGGGAGGGGTGGAGCCATGTGGAGAAAGGGGTGGAGCCATGGAGGGGTGGTGCCATGTGGGGAGGGGCAGAGCCATGAGGGAAAGGTGGAATCATGAGGGGGAAAGGTGGAGCCATGAGGAGGGCTGGAGCCATGGGGAAAGGGGCTGGAGCCATGAGGAGGGCTGGAGCCATGAGGAGAAGGGCTGGAGCCATGGTGAGAGGGGGTGGAGCCATGAGGGGAAGGTGGAGCCATGAGGAGGGCTGGAGCCATGGGGAGAAGGGCTGGAGCCATGGGGAGAGGGGGTGGAGCCATGAGGGGAAGGTGGAGCCATGAGGAGGGCTGGAGCCATGAGGAGAGGGGGTGGAGCCATGAGGGGAGGGTCTTGGGAGGGGCCAGGAGCATAAAGGGTGTGGAGGGGACCACAGAGGACCAGGCAGGGCAGGGCACCTACATGCTCACAGCCTGGAGACCACTGAGGCCCAGATGCTCCTGGGCATTCGAGACTCCTGCAAGGCCCTCAGGGCCCTGACTGTGGAGAGGCTCTGCCACCAGCTGCCAAGACACCAATACTGGCTGACGCTGTCTTTCCGTAGCCAAGGGAGCCACTCTGGCCTTGACGGAGTGGGCGGGGGCGCCTAGGAGACCTGGTCTCTAGGTCAGAGTCAGGCCACAGTGCAGAGGGCCCTGCAGTAGGTCACGCTTCACCTCTGCCCATCAGTGGGAAGTGATGTGGGACAGACAGCAGACAGAGCCGTGGTGCTCTGGCCCAGCTCCAGGACGGGGACTTCGGATGTGACTGTTGCCT